ATATATATATATATATATATATATATATATTGATATTATGTTTGTATTTCATTTTAGCTAAACGTATATGTTATCAAAAGAGATTCACGATCAAAGAATGATGAAAACTAATCTAATTAATAAGAGAAAATTATTGAAATTCTTTTTGCAGCAGCAACAAATTGATATGTCGGAGAATATGAGTGATATTGATAGATATTTTGTTGACGAATCCATCAATCTAAATACCTCATCATTTTATGTTATACTTTAGTGGAAATAAAATGTTTAATTATAACATTTCGTTACAACAACATTAGATCTTATAGGATGCCTAAAATGTCTAAGCGTGCTAATATGATTTATTATAGGATGAAACAAGAAAAATGTCTTATCTAAAAGAGTTACAATATGTTTATAAGATGATTTTGGGCGTCCTAACAAATTCTATGATGCTTTTAAAATAAAATATCGTATTAGTTATTTATACGACACGACTTGAAAACTGTATATGAACATAGGTGTCCTATAAATAGATGAGTTTTTGGGACACTTCTCAAAATATTTTTCTATAAAATAAGTAATACGACATTTTATTTAAAGATCATTCTAAAACACTTGTTGAAGCGTCCAAAAACGTCATATAAACCTATTGTAATCTTTTTAGATATGACGCTTTATAATATGGTCTATAAACTTAAGTTTTATAAATTATTTCATTCGTCAAATTTATGTAACTACTAACCCCCACATTCATATCTGGCACTTGAGGAGGTCAATCTTAAGTTGTTGGAAACTACTGCCCCGAAAAGGTTGGGTTGGGTTATACTTTTGAATGAGTTGAGTTAGGTTGAGATTTTTTCAAACCGCCATAATTGGGTTGGATTGTAAAAATGTTGTAAATCATCCAACCCAACCCGCATACACCCCTACCTATGGGTGATGATGGCTCTGCTTGCTCCCCCTCACATGATGGTAAGGTTCAGATATACATATAGTTATCTTTGACTCTGGATTGGGCTATGATGCAGAGCTAGGAAGCTCTGATTCTAGATCTGCATGATCACAAGAGGGAGTAGAGGCGTTAGAAGGGCCAGATATTGATGTACCTAAAAGGGTGATGACGAATCACGAAGTTTGATAAAAAAATATATTTTAGAGTTGGTTGAAGATGGTGTAAGTGAAAAAAAAAATTCACATGTAAATTTTTCATAAAGTGAACAAAAAATTTGTATAATAATATCTTAAATCATCGTTTTTAATAAAAAAAATATAATGCAAAATATTTTTTTTATCAATTCTTACAAATTTGTAACCTTCTTTTTAATATATTTTATTTTTTTAATTTACGTTATATCAATCTCTTTCTTTCTCTCTCCGTAATTTAAAATTTAGTGACGGCAAATAATATTAATTGATCAATATTTATTTTATTACATTGATTTCGAACATATAAAATGCACCCTCTCTCTTCATGTAATATATATATATATATATATATATATATATATAATAATTATAATATTAATGATAGTAATAACATTTATTGATTAGTATTTAAAATATTTATTTATTGATTTGTACTTTGAAATTTGTATTAATACATGTTTAAGTCTCAAAATACATATCCAAATTCTATAAGTGTGTAATAATTATACTTTTTAATTGACTAAATGACAATTCTATCATTCATAATTGAGAGATTAATAAATTTGCTATCGTTCATAATTGAGAGATTAATAAATTTTATATCTCATAATTAACAGTGAAGTTGTAAAGTAGACATTACTTTTTGAAAGTGGAAACTTACTTTAGGACAAACTAAAATAGAACGAGGATACTTATTTTGGGACGGATGGATTATTTGTTTTTGTTATTTGTAAACATCATTCGTCTTATAACGATAAATTATTTTCTAAAATAATTTATCGTTATTAATGATCGGTTAATATTTTTTTCATATTATTTATAGACTAAGTTTTTATTTACCACATTTTTATACATATAGTTAGTTACCGTGTGATTTAGACGTACACTTAGGGGCCGTTTACCTAAACACTTACCCGGTAAGAGTTTACTGGTAAAATTTAACACTATTGTTTACTTGTAGGTAAGATTTGAGTCCAGCAAAACGATATTGTATGTAAAAAATTACCTGGGAAGCGCTAACCGTGGTAAGAGTCTTCATCACTTATCAGGTAAGACTCTCGATCCTTGCCTTCGTTCTTACCAGGTAAGATTCTTGGTCCTTGTCATATTCTTCCGGTAAGGTAATTTGACTTGGTAAGCGCTTACCCAGGTAAGCAATTGGTAAACGATCCCTTATTTATTTTTTAATAAAAATAGGCAGAAATATTATTCTCTTTTTAAAAAAGAAAAAAATATTCCATTACCAACCAGACAAACAATGCATAAATTATCCACACTCCCGTGGTTATTATTACTCATTTTATTTAATTTTACAACTTTATACATAAACAAATATTTCTCTCTCTCTCTCTCTCTCTCTCTCTCTATATATATATATATATATATATATATATATATGACTCGAATAAATGCAACAACTCGTGAAAAGGGGTATGCTATAGTTATAGTAGATTAATAAACGATTTATAAAGGAGATAGTTGCTTCTTAATCGTAAAATACTTGCACAAATAGCTATATATATATACATATTAAAATTTCAATAATTAGATTTTATTAACTTTTTCGAATTATTTAAATACTTTTCATTGTTGATTCTATTAACAACTAACATATATTTATATAGACAATCTTCGAAATATTAACCAACGTACTCATGCTATCGCGCAACGCACGGTTCCCGTACTAGTTAATTTCTTATAGAAAAATACTTTATATGTTTTTGATTTGTAATATCGTTATAAGAATATATCAAATAGCATTGGGGGTGTTATGTAACAGGCCAAATCCGAGTTGAAGAGATATGCAATGCGGATAACGTATATGAAAGACTATGCTTAGTGAGGTTCGAGCAAGTTCTGCGATGTTTTTCTCCATGTCTAATCGTCCAAGATACTTCCGTGGTTGGTAATTTGGAAACCCAAATGGTTGTGGCAAGTTTTTTGTTTAATTTTGTAGATTATTCTTGAAGGCGAATGATCATGTGGAAAAGAGAGTTAAGATGAGAAGAGTAAAAATGAATCTGGACCCTTGATCATCTTTAATCTCAAACTCATCAATGAATCGTGCTTAATACAATGATTGATTCGATACATCTCATCTCGATGCATCTCACCTTAATGTGCGCTTTTGGTTCGAATTTTTGGATTTGTAGCCTTATACGGAGATGTAAGCTTTTGGTTCTAATTGTTGGATGTTTGGTGATCACGAGGTGATAATCAACAAAGTTGATTTTTTGAAATTCACTACAACAAAATCGAGTTTATAGGACGCTAAAAGTGTTTAGGTGTTTTAATAGACTACTTTATAGGACTTAATTTTATAGATACAAACATTTGTTTGTTACAAATGTTATAATAAGTTTTTCGGATGTTTTTGGACGTCTTAACAAACTTTTTATGATACTTTTGAAATAAATTGTTTTATTAGTTCTATAGAACAACTCTGCATAAGGACACTTCTTTTATAAAACACTTTTTCAAATAACGTTCTATAGAAGGGTTAACGACCCTTCAAAAAGTATCCTACAAAAGCATTTTAAGACATGTCATATGAACTTGTTACAACACCTTTATGTAAAACAAATATGTGTTTTCTCCTATAAATTTAAGTCCCATAAAGTAGTCTATTAGGATACTCGAACATTTTTAATGTCCTACAATTTTGTTATAATGAAAGTGAAGTAGTTGTTTGATGCTTTATTGTAGTTAAACATTAATTATTTGACTTTTATCATGAATTGGACCGAGAGTTGGCAAAACTTTTTAAAAGATTTGGGAAAAATATTTTGGATGTACTACAACAAAATTGGATTTATAGGATGTTATCAATTTCTAAACGTCTTAATAGACTGTTTTATAAGACTTCATATTTAGAACAAAAAATAAATCGTTCTATCTAAAAACATTGTAATAAGTTTATAGGACACTTTTGGATGACCTAACAAGTTCTTTATGACACTTTTAATACAAAACATCGTATGAATTAACATTTTTATAGGACACTTTTGAGAAAGTGTCCTATAAACTCGTCTTTTTATAAAATATTTGTTTTTATATGACATGTTTTCAAAACAGAGTCCTATAAAATTGATAATATGATGCTTTGTATTAGAAATATCTTAAAAACTTGTTAGAACGTCCATAAACGTCTTATAAACTTATTACAATGCTTTTATATAGGACGTTTTATTTTTTGGTCCTATAAATTAAGTTATATAAATCGATCTATTAAAAACGCTTATATTTTTTTGACGTCTTATAAACCCGATTTTATTACAGTAAAAATAGAAGAATTACCGGCACAAACAACCTTGTTAATAGTAAAATACTTTACCATGGCACTCAATATATGGAGGTTTAAGAGAGACGATCAGTAACAAATAAAATCAGATGGAAAATTGGTTTCAATATTAATTAACAAATGGTAACTTATTTACAATGTAAACATTTAGGGCCCGTTCACCAAACACTTAGTCGGATAAGCGCCTACCAAGTCACATTTCTTTATCGGATGAATACGAGAATGACCAGATTCTTACCCGGTAAGAGCGAGACAAGGACCATGAGTCTTACCTGGTAAGTGAGGGCGACGACTCTTACCCGGTAAGTAAGTGGTGGCGTTAAATTTTACCGGTAAGCACTTATCTTGGTAAATGTTTGGTAAACGGCCCCTTACACATCTGGTCATAATGGCATAACGATTATGGTACTGATCCCTTCTGGCTCTTGTCTTTGAACCTGTGTTGTTGACGTTGTTTTGCTACACGCCCCATCTGAAAGAATCGTTTGATATGCTTCTTTGAGGCAGTGGCGACAAGTCGGGCAGGACGTGTGCGAACTCAACCACTTGTCTATGCATCGAACATGGAACCCGTGGTTGCATTTCGGTAGTATTTTGATCAGTTCTTCAGGGACAAACTCACTTAAGCATATCGCACATTCTTTGTCCAATCCAGGTAATTTAAGTCCTTCCCAGTAACGAACAGTCGGGAGAGCCTTTAACGCCTTTTTCTTAATTCCGGAACTGGCTAACCTGGCTGGTGTGCTGTCTGAACCAGTATCGGATCCAGAGTTAACCATACTTGAACACCTTAACACACACCTAATGATAGAGTTCAATACCAACATGCAAATAATAGAACATAGAAGCACCGATAGGACCATCACCACATTCGCATCGAAGCTTTTGTTTTTGGTATACTGACTCGGCGTTGGTGAAGTTGCTGTCTCTTCGACTCGTATGTGCATCGTCGTTGCGATAGGAGCATGAAGTAGAAGCTTTCTTGAATGAGAATGACCCAAATGGCCTTGAAAAGCCGTCGTGAAACTAGTAGACATTTTGGTTGTACATGTAGACTTGAAAGATTATGGTATATATATATATAGTGGGCATAAAGTGAGCTCCATAAACAATGAAAAGCCAAGTTCTATGTGCTGCTAATGGAGTCCATATCAAATGGATCGCACCCACATACTTTGAATCTTATCTCATGACTCCATTTTTGAAGCTATGTATTTAGTTGAAAACTCAATTATTAAGTCGAGTGGATAACCATTTGACTTGAAACTGTTGAGTCGAAACAATCGTTGTTTATACGTGAACGACGACCCTTAAAAACGGACCCTTTTTACGGAACACAAAACGTTTATACCCGTTGTATATGATGTAAGCATCACAAAAACGAGTATACTGGGAAAAGATAGTTTGATGCAAAAGTTTTGCTTGCATGTATATAAGGTTTTTATAGCAGTTTTTCAAATACTATAATTCACGCCTTTAGGTAGGAGTGCTCAAAAACCCGACCAACCCTACGCGAAATAACTTAACCTAAAGCAACCCAATGTCTAATCGAGTTGTAAAATTTTTAAACCGTGGGTATTCGGTTGATATTGGGTTACTATTGTTTGAACCTAACCCAACCTGATGAACCCGATATCATTTTATTTCTTGGATTTAATATGATTGTTGAATTTCTATTAATATATACATTAGACAATTACGCTATCACGTACGCTCTTCATATACACATCTTTTCAATCTATTTACATCTCTCTATAACTCATTTGTATACATGTTTAGTAACTGTGAACATATATATGTAAATTGAGAAAAGTAACTGAATGTGATATATGTAAGAAGTATATATAGATAAGTTGTATCAAATGGTTGATGATGAAAAAGAAATTATGAATAGAAAAATAACATATTCAAGATTATAAGAGTACTTTGTTGTACCAAAGTATCAACCTGACCCGACCAACCCGTACGGTTTGGGTTGGGTTGGGTTGCACTTTGGTTTGAGTTAGATGTACTAAACAGTAATCAATGAGAACGAAAATAAAAGAAATTGTTTGGTATTGTATAATATAATGGGCTCATTTCCCATAAACCCAAATTTTCATTCCAAATTAACTAAAGAAATGAAAATTCATTCCCATTTCCATTTCTTGTCATTTTCATTTTCGTTCCCCTGTATGAACCAAAGTTACCAAACACCCCCTAAGAAAATAACATCATCATTTGAGAATAAAAACAAATAGTTAGAATTGAAGCTTCAATTAATGTTAGTGTTATCATATATGATCTATGTTTAAAAGCACTTTTCCGCTTTTCGTATCTATATCCTTATCTATAAATATTGTTTTAAGGGTGTTCGGGGTTGTTTTAAAAACAACTTATTGACTTATTTCGACACTTTTGAGTATTTGGATAAACAACTTATACCGATGCCAAACCGATAATAAAGAGTTTTTGAAAGAGTTAAAACTCTTCTGCCTTATGATAAGTTGATAAGTGCTTTTGTAGGAAATCATAAGTTATCCCAAACACCCACTTAATAGAGTTTAATAAAATGTTATGAGGTACAAAAACAACCTTATCTCCAAGAAGAGTTGATTGCAAATGATATCCGGAAATCTTAGAAGATAAACCCCTTTTGTGGTCGAAAATTAAAGGAGGTTTTGCACTTTTTGAAGTGAAAAACTCTTAATTAATGGTGGCATTATGCATCACTTCACCAAGTGTATCAACAACTATTAAAAAACCCAAACCTTTATACCTTTGTGATTTATAAAACATTAAACAATTAATTAAATAAATGTATAATCGTTTACGTAATCATTTGGAGGGGGTAAAACGTACATAAATCTGTCCTTCATCCATACGAACGTATACGAGTGTTTACTCTGTATCCGTTAACTCGGAAAATCCTATTACACAAAATGGTTCGTTTATTTACTGAAATTACTATGACGGTGTTTGTGTTTTAAGAGGTGATGTTTGAAATCTTATTTCATTTCTCAATAATAATAGGTGGGGTTGAAGTTTGAAAGCATACAGACTTGCCCAACTTTTCCCCAACTTGCCCTCTCTCTAAGGATGCATAGACTCTTCAAACTCTTGACTCCTCCTTGATATTCTCCTCAAACTCGTGATTCCTCGATTCCTCCATGTTGCCTTTTCTCTTCGTTCTTTCTGGATTCGCTACTCAAACTCTCGATTTTGGTAGCCCTTTCCTCACAGACATACCATCGATCTCACGTTTCTTCACCACACCAGACACGGGGACGGGAGCACCATTTTCTTCGTCGCCGCAAACACTTCTGCATCCTCTGCCTTTGCAGATTCAAAGAGATAAAACACTTTCCCCCCAAATTGGCACCTTTGATTTACTATTGTTTCAAACTTCAACTTATTTTCTTATGTTTGGAACTTCCCAAAATAAATGTGAATGAACAATAGATACAGTGTGTCAATAGGAACTTCTGCCTCTTTTTTTCTTATGTTTGGAACTTCTACCTCTTTTTTTCTTTTGGTTACAAGACATAAAGTGTGTCAATAAGCAATAGATACAGTGTGTCAATAGGAACTTCTGCCCCTTTTTTCTTATGTTTGGAACTTCTTATGTTTTGAACTTCTGCCTTTTTTTCTTATGGTTGAAAAACACAAAGTGTGTCAATAAGAAATAGATACAATGTGTCGATAGGAACTTCTGTCTGTTTCTTTCTTATGTTTGGAACTTCTTATGTTTGGAGCTTCTCGCTCTTTTTTTCTTATGGTTGCAAGACATAAAGGGTGTCAATAAGCAATATACATTGTGTCAATAGGACCATAAAGAATAAAAAATATAAACTAAAAATTGAGGAATGACTGAGAATACTCAAGATCTGATAATTTTCAGAACCTCCAGAACACTGATTGCAAACCTTCAAGACCTCTGATTGATCAGGTTAAAAAAATGAGTGAAAGCACTCAATGGTCTAGCCTCTTGTGGAAAAACTCCAGATAACGATTGCAGATACTCAAACTTTAGCTAGTCCAATCAAATACTGAAACCAATCAAACTGTTCTTAAATTTTTTTCAAATCCGACTTTAAACTCTAATCTCAAATAAGTTGACTAAAAAGTCAAACTTTGACTTTAGAAGTCAATGTTGACCAAAATTGCTATAAGATGATCTTAAGGACAAAATTGATAAAACGTCACCTTAATCATTAAGCACAAGGTGAATAGGGAAAAGATATCCATTGAACACACAGGTTAAGCACAAAGAGTCAAATGAACATGTACTCAGTTGATGAGCGATGAGCATGAGTAAGACTGGTCATTACCCATGCCTTAGGCGGAGAGGCATGATTCTTAGCTTATCACCCATGCCCTGGCCGAAGATCGAAGGTTATTGCTCAAGCCTTGGGCAATGAGCTATATTATCGCTCATCACTTAGGCGGATAAACTCAAACTTCCAATCAATTTCATCTTTCAACTTCATCGCTTAATCATATAGGTCATCGCTTGAAGCCTTGATCTATGAGATGACTCATCGGACAAAACTTTGTCGCACAAAGAGTAACAAGGCAATATGTGAGAAGGTCATCGCCCACCAAGACACTTAATCGCGTGGTGTGTTGGGCGATGAGGGCTCTTATCCCACACCATATTGAGCGGATTTCAACTTTGAAGCACAAAACCTAGACGATGAGCATGGTCTCCGGACAAGCTTTGAGCGATGAGGACACTTTATCGCTCAAAACTAGCAAAAATTTCATCCAAGTCCAATTGTTATCGCTTAATACCAAGTTACCAAGAAACATAAACTACCCGATGAATGCATCGCTCAATACTTCGTATCTTTATTGGGCGATGAGCACCACTTCATCGCTCAATGAATATCTTCAATAGGCGATAAGGAAAGATATTTACCAGATTTAGCATAGTTCAACTATAGTCATCAAAAACACCAAAATTTACTTATACCACCAAAAATTGATAATCCAAATAAGTTTGTATTCACCTAAATGCTATTCTTTTAGCATTAATTTGATTAAAGCAATAAGAACAAGGTGAATTAGATCAAATTAGGCTCAAATGTCGAACATAAAGTTGAAGAAGGATTTGAGTACTGTTTCATTAACAAAAAACAGAATCAAAACTTAAATTTTGTTGTTGAATTGAATGATTGTATCGAAAAAGATGATCCGATTCTACTTCAATACCAAATATGAGTCCCATTTCAAATAGTAAATCAAGAATCATGGATGAAATTAAAAGAATGTAGATGAAGAACATGACGAACCGGCCAGATTCTATTATTGGAAAGCAAAAAATTACAATCTCTAAATTTCTCTCTAAACGACTCTCATTGAATACAATAGAATGATCAATCATGATTCTAAGCCCCATGTCACCTATTTATAGGTGACATTTACAAGTAAAACTCATTGCTCTTAAGCCCAATTAGATGATAATATAATACAATACAATACAATAAACAAAGGTAATTGTCTTTATAAAACTTTTTAAAACTTAGGACTATTTTGGTCCTAACACTCCTCTTCATAAGAGACTTTAGATCTTCAAATACCTAAGAAGAGAGACACATACAAGCACAAACTTCTTAACCTTGCGAAGTTACGTTTACTTCAAGTTAATAACACCAACTAAGCTCTCTCTGTAGCGAAGTTATTGCTTCTTCTTTTTAGCAAGTCTTTTCGTCCTTGATATATGTATCTTGTGTGTTTCTTAGATTTTTTTAGATAAGTTCTCTATCTTGTCTTATTCTGCAAACAATCTATAAATTTTGTATTGATCTTCTTTATCAATAAATGATTTTAAAGTGAAAATGTGTGTGTGTGTGTGTTTGTATTAATCACCCCCTCCCCCCTTTTACAATCTGTTACCTTTATACTCTTGTAGATCCGTCTAGGACCAACAAAATCATATATCCTAATGAGCCTTATGCCTTGTTATTGACACTATACTAATCTTAAATAGGATAAACAAGGTTTAGATTCATATTGAAAAAGTTATTGTTGATCCTCTCTCTCAGTGAATTAATGATGATTCC